CAGCCCCCCCATTCTCACAAGGGCCCCCCCCCCCCACACACACACACACACACTCATTGTTATAAAATAAAAATTGAAGCTCCAACATGCAGATCGGAACCCCTTCATAAACTCTGTAAAAGGTAAGAAGATACAAGAACTGTGCTGGTTTAAAGGAGGTTTAATAGTCCAAGATTTTTTACAACTGAGGTATTTGGACTGACCCTTTAAAGTACAAGGGTAAAAACATGTTTGCATAAGATTTCAGAAGGGCAGCTGAGAATGTTAATCTCCAACTTAAACAGCTTTAACATTTTGAATAGAGTGGTGATGAGTTAATATACAACATTGTTAGTGAAGACATTGAAGGCTACAGTATAAAAGGTAGATCTGGTCCACAAATTAGGTATAGTTTACATACTTAAACTGAGCCTGTGCCTTGTTCGGCAAAAAGTCTCCTTTGACCTCCCCACTTCTCAGCAGTACATACAAAGCTTGCCTCCCTCCTGCACTACTGGGAGCAAAATGGAATAACTGCAACTCCCCTCTCCAATGTTACAGTGCTAGGTGCCTCCAGATTGGCCCAGCCCTGTCACATGTGGCCAAGTAGGGGGTCCATAGCTCCATGTCAGTCCGACAAGTCGGTTTGGAGCTTACACAGTCCTTTTTTTACCAATCCCAGTGGCTAAACGGAGCAGTGGGGTAGCAAGGAAAGGTGAGTATGTACTGCAGGGGAGATGTTGAGTTAAATGAATCCGTTACTTTGCCCTACATTAGCAGAGGAAAGCTTTGAAGAGAGGTGAAATTATGATTTATACTAACAGAACAGTCATACTGGTTCAAAACAACTTTCTAAGCTGAACTCTGTACTCACCTGTGCCTTCCAGTTGTCGGGGAGAGGAATGTGATCGGTTGGTCCTCCATTCTTCTCATTGTAGTACATGACCATGTTTAGATCAGGGAAATTCCGGTTCAGATCTACATTATTAAAGTTATTTCTCCCCGTCAAGTACCCATTAAAATATGGTCCCTATGGAGTAAGTTGGTTATTATTATATTATCATTATTATTATTCATGTTTTTATATATTAGTACTGCACAGAAAATATCAAAACATATTCTTAACAAAAACACAAGATCAAAGAGACCAAAGAGAAGCCAATAACTGTATTTGTGTTGCCAGTAGAAGCAGATCTCAAATGTTTTTTTTCAAGGTTACAGATGATACTCAGGAACTGCCTATCTTTTATGTCATCTGCGCAAATATAAACCTAATTAAGAGGTATATTTAACCCGCTACACACACTACACACCAAGTTAAACAGTAAAAAATGAATGAATATGTTTTAGAATAAAAAGCTTTTCTAGACCTGATATGTAAATAATTGGGAAAACTCAAGGCACATAAAAGGCACTTGTGAGCATAAAACTGCCCAATTATAACACACAACAGTCTTTCAACTGGTGATGCAATGCCTTCCTACTTTGTAGATCGTGGCATATAGTAGATAGATATGATATATGTGTTAGCATTGAACCACTTCTACAGCAAACTATTTGCTTTCATTCTTCACAGCATGGTACAGTAACAATCCCAACCAATGCAGATAATAGAAAACAGGATGACATTAGGAAGTATCTATGATTAGAACCTACTAATGCGTAGTAAGATTGCTATATAAGGAAACAATTACAATTTATTCATTGGGGGGGTATCTATTATGTTTCAGAAATGCTTCAGCTCTACCATTTGTGTGAGTCAAGGGTGTAATAAACCTAATTACAATGAAAATATATGAATTCACTTTCCTTCTATGGAAAACAAAAGGACGAACATTCCAGTTACCATGTCAATATTGCATTCTGTTGAAAAGTGGAATTTGTACACACTGAGGAATATTATGTTCCTTATGTATCTGTAGGGTGGATTCTGGCAAACACGACACAGAGGCGCAGACAGGGAGCCCTGGGCTCCACCAAGAGAACACTTTCTTCTTGGCTATAATAAGCATCAGAAATGACATCTGCAGTTAAGACAATGTGATGACTGGTACTTGTTCCCCGGATGGTCACTTAGAGGTAATACAAGCCCATTGGAAGATATTACAACCACCAAGGGTGCTTATTGTTGTGAACAATTGGGTCCCATATTGCTGTAGAGCTACTTGACCTTCTCTGACAACAGTTGTTCCCCCACAATTTTTTTGAAACTTGCCACAACGAATGATCTACCACCACCTTGCAATGGTGGTCCCACATTATTCTGCTTTTCGCTCAGTGATCTGGCCATGCAAGCCTTTAAAATCCAAGATCAGTTGTCCTAGACTTCAAAGCTCATGAACTACTCAAACTAATCTAATCTCTCTTTATAGACAAAAAGGGCGCACAGGAATTCACACATGTACCCTCAATACTGTAGAGGCATAATGAGGCATCATAATGACCCAACACAAGGCACAAGCTGGCAGGTCTAAAGTGTTGCCCAGTGTAACGCCAGTTACCATAAAGCTATTGACCCAAAAACTTTCTGGAACCATCAGAGAACCACTGGGCAAAGAACCAGAAACCACGAGGTCAGAACTAGAAAGCCACCAACACTAAAAACTATGGGATGCACTGGGGACATATCCACATCACCATTCAGTGAAAAATATTTCCATGGCATATGCACACAGATCCAATTCTACTGATGGAATACAAATGCCTTTGGTTGAAACACATTCAGTTTAGATATAAAGTGTGTCCCCCTAGAACGGGTCACAAGGAAAGAGTTCAGTTCTACCTGGTCAGCAGCAACTTCATAACCATCTGGGTTCATGGAAGGCATGATATGTATCCGTGTGTTCTCAATGAGCCGGACAATCCTCTCATTCCTGTTCCGATACTCTTCACACAGGAACTCGGCCAGTTGTAGGAGAAGCTCTCTTCCCAGAATCTCGTTCCCGTGCATGTTGGCTACATACTTAAACTCTGGCTCCACTATGGAGAGAACAGAACATACATCAGTGTAAATCTCTGAGCTTTACAACATAAGATAGAAATTACTTAAAGGATCATCCTACATAAACATATGAAGGATGCCATTGGTGACTTGTTTGTAAGGGTGCACATTGTCAGGTGTATTCAGACTTGGAACACTGACGTCGCACTTCCAACATGCCTACATTTTCAAGGTCAGTGACTCATTGTAAATTCACATAAGAATAAAGATGACAGCTACAGCTTGCACTTTTTTTTTTAAAACAAATCAGTTGGCAGCTTCCATGCATCTATCCACTGGAGGGTAATTGTAACATCTCTCGTTGGAGGAAGGGAGAAAGACCAAAGTCTATAGAGGTACATTGCAGTCAAATATGAACATATAGAGTGTAAACCCACATAGAAGGCATAGTATACCTGCACACCTCCACACAGGGCAGAACAGCCAATGAGGATTGCTTTGGGCATTTATGTCTCCCAGCCAGTTTCTGTAGGACAGTACCAGTGATGCATGCTGGGAGAGGAGATAAATGCTGAGTGTGGCTGATACAACAGTCTCTTCCCTCCCCCAGGGCCCTCCTTGCTGGGGGCAGGATGCCTGCTGCTGAAGACACAGAATGGACTAGGCCTAAGCCTGGGGCCTAGGCCTGGACGCTGGGGCCTGAGCCTGGAGGCCCAGTGGTCAGCCACTCATGTCTGAAGTTGAACCTGAACAAGACCCTTGACAGTACTGCTTGCCAGAGGTTCTGCACACAGATTGCCGGTACGGCTTAAAGGTCCAAGTCTGTGGTTGCAGCAGTTACTTTGCTCTATTTCAAGTACAAGGAGTCTACCTTCATGCTGGACGTGCTTGACCCTCTCCCTCTCTCCCTGGAGTTCAGAAATAAAAGAGAATCATCTTGGAGCTATTGTCTGGACTTCAATCTGTCGGTAACCACTGGAAGTGGTAAGTGCTTTTGGGGCAGCCATGTGTTTTAATAATCCCTAGACAGGCTATTGGAAGACCCGATCATTCAGCGGCTCCTTTGGGGCTGAGCGCTACACATGCATCAAAGAAACCTGACAAAAGTTCTGATCCTTCTCCACTCTATCCAAAATTGAAAACAAAATGAGCTAAAATTGGACTTTAATGCTGAATTTATCCCATTGGCCCTTTAAGCTGTGTAGGCTAAAAACCAGTTCACTGTATTGAAGGAAATAACTTCTTTACGACAGCGTAATGCATATATATGGCAGCATGGCGGGTGGGCCTTTATGCCCAGTTGCCTCATATATGTGTCCTTGTGTTGTTCTAGGGCACGCTCAATTAGCGCCCCCACAACTGTGACCAAGTGGTTATTGACAGAGTCAACTACAGGAGCAGGGGCTAGGACTAGATGGACCCCTCCTTCAGGCCACTGGTGCCATGGCTCACTTAAAGGGCCAGCTCCCACTGGCAGCATAGGGTTAGACACAGTGGAGAAGCTAGCCATTCTGTCACGTGGGGCAAATGCTCAGAGTTGCTCCCCCCCCAAGGGAGAAATTCTCCATCCACACACTTAGTGGCGCACCTCCTAAAGCGGCACCTGGGGGGAACATGCCCTCCCCAGCCCCCACCCAGCTTCGGCCTCAGGTTTATACCTAGGTAAGCTCACCTTTAGATGGAATGATTGGGAATTATGGCAAGAAGAGCTCGCTGTAGGATCATCTAAAACGTAGAAGACGCCAGGAACTGCCTTGGCCCATCTGGGTCCATCGGTAACTAAAATATCACTTCTGGGTGGACGTTATGTACATGCCAATGGAACGGAGGGTGATATAAAAGATTCCTTTGTTTGGAATAATGACAATTTTGCTTTTTCTCTGTTATGAAATACATTTGGCATAGTCCTAACTCAAAGCATATGTTTCCTTCAACAAAGAAGTTATGAATAACATGTAACCAGACACGATATAAGATTTGAAGCATCTGATGTCACAATATGTACTGTGTAGATAAGCGGAAACTTTACGCTCACCCGCCCTGCACGTCCATGCGGGTGCGTGTGTCCGTACTCGTACGCTGGCAGGATGGATCCTGTCTGTGTCCGAGCCGGGACTCTGCACGGACCTGCACTTGGGGTGAGCATAAGGCGGCGTATGGCCGCGTACTCCCATAGAGAAGGACAGGGGCTGCATACTATTTACACGCAGCACCTGTCCTTCCTGGGAGCTGCCCGATATGGCCGTGCATGCAGCACGGAGCTGTAAGTGCCGGCCTTTTGTCGTGTGAATGAGGCCTAAAGCTACTTTTATCTTACTGATTCTTTGAACTGTGTACCGGCGTGTGATAAAGAGATGTTATCTTCATTGTAAAAAGCTATTCAACATCTGTGTAGATAAATGTCACCTCTGGGCAATCCTCTCTATCCTGCCAGTGACACATTAAAGGGATAATAGAACAGGAATGCGAGGAAATACTACACTGTCTACAGAACAATGAACTGCTAACGTTGTTATTTCCACCTGTCATTCAAACAATACAGATATACAGTGATTGATGTGTACACACTCTGTGATATGTCTGCTCTACGGCTACTGTAGCCGCTGTCATTCTACACAGTACTCCAGGGTACATAAATATCATTTAAAGAGTCATTTGCATTCTTCTTGAACAGCATATGTGTTAGATTATTATGAGGGAACCCAATAACTAACAGCTGTCCCCAGATCTCACTGCTATGACCCAGAAAGCAAGATGGTGGTGCCTATGGTGCCTGCCAATGGTGGTCCTATGAAAGGAAGCACATTAATTGCAATGAGCCACAGAGTGCTCCCTCTCCTCAAATCTCTATATTTAACCCAACAACAAAAATATGGAAGGGAAAGCATTTAAAAAATGTGAAAGACACATCAATATGACTTCAGCATGACTCCAAAGATCTGCTCAGAGACAATACACCAAGAGTAGGCAGCCTCTGTACTCCTGCTGGCTTTGCATGCAATCAGAGCAGCGAGAGATGGGTAGAAGAGAGTGCTGCTAGACATGAGGGTGATGCCCTCTGCGGCTCTGCATCGCCTCGCTCACATCATAGCAACCAGGGACGCTCTGGCTGGTGTCCCGCCCATCTCCTGGCAGCCAGTGACGCTACCAGACGTTGGATTGGATGCCAGCCAGAGCATGCCAGGTTGTTAAGAGCTGGGCAGGAAGATGTATATGGCCCTTACAGATCTCCCTGCCTGGCACTTAGCAACATGGGACACTCTGGGTGGAAAAGGGGGCAGCAGGCACATTCCAAACATTGTGCAGCCAGGTGGCCATGTCGCCCCCAATATAACTCAAAGAGATGCAGCCTGAGGCAACCGCCACAGGCTTCCTCATTAAGGGAACTGCCCTGCCCATGAGGCATTGCAAGACTCTGACAGCCACAGGCATGACTCCCAGAGGCAGAGGCACAATGAGATTTGTACTTTCATCCCAGCTAGAGTGCTGAGGCTGCCTATCACTACAATACACTATCCTTTCCCTTTAAAGGGCAGCTGCAGAAGTTACATTAGTTACATAAGACGTTGGAATCACCTTCATGGAGTAACAGTCTAAAGTGTAAGGAAATGATCAGAGCAGAAGAGGAGTTAGTAGTTTATTTTCCAACCCGGCGCTGACGTTCTGCCTGGTAATCCCATAGAATTAGACTTCCAGCTGTCATTTTGTTGCCACAATGGCAGCCAGCACACAGCCACAGGCTGCGAAGCAATGTTACATACCTGCCCGTCTGAAGACGTCTGCCTACATTGCTGTGAAACTTGTATCTCTTTTTAAAATAATATATACAATGTATCTGTATGATTGTATCTCTTCCATATATTATATTAGACTGCCGCTTCCTCCTCGCAAGGCCCCCGCGAGCGGCCGTCTAATCTGCCTGTTTAGAGGCCGCCGCCGCTGCCTGATTGTAACCGGCCCAACTACAAAGGTGATCCGGGACGTTCTGAACCCCCGGTGAGAGACGCACAGCCTTCCCCCCTCCCCTCCGGGAGCAAAACAACCTTCCCCTCCCCCCCATGTTTTATTAAGTGTATAAATGTTTTAATATGTTTCCCTATTTTGCATAAGGCCCCCTTCACACTGTGCGTAAAATCCCGCTATTTCGCGCATTATCGCGAGAAGTCGCCGGCCAATGTTATTCAATGGAGCTGTTCTAATGTACAGCTCCATGTCGCCTGTTGCTTCAGCAGGACCCTTTTTCCCGCGATTTTCTATTTTTGAATGCAGCCCGACGGTGAAGGTCGCGCGATCTTTGCTGGAACGTCGCCCCAAACAGTCGCGCTATCCCGGCCCTGCTTGTAAGGTATGTCGCTTGGTGTGAATTGGGGCCTGAGGCAGTGATGTTGAATGTTTCTTAACCACTTGAAGGCCATAGTGTTTCACCCCCTTCCTGGCCAGGCCATTTTTCAGTATTCAGCGCTGCGGTACTTTGACTGATGTTTATTCCGTCATGCAACGCTTTACTGAAACGATTTTCATACCATTTTTTGGGGACAGATAGAGCTTTCTTTTGGTGGCTTTTATTCACCAATGGGGTTTTTATTTTTTACTATATAACAAAAAAAGTACCCTAAATTTTGAATGTATGATTGTATCTCTTCATATATTATATACAATGTCTCTGTATGATTGTATCTCATCATATATTATATACAATGTCTATGTATGATTGTATCTCTTCATATATTATATACATTGTCTCTGTATGATTGTATCTCTTCATATATTATATAAATGTCTCTGTATGATTGTATCTCTTCCATATATTATATACATTGTCTCTGGATGATTGCATCTCTTCCATATATTATATACATTGTCACTGTATGATTGTATCTCTTCATATATTATATACAATGTATCTGTATAATTGTATCTCTTCCATATATTATATACATTGTCTCTGTATGATTGCATCTCTTCCATATATGATATACAATGTCTCTGTATGATTGTATCTTTTCCATTTATAATATACAATGTCTCTGTATGATTGTATCTCTTCATATATTATATACAATGTCTCTGCATGATTGTATCTCTTCCATATATTATATACAATGTCTCTATATGATTGTATCTCTTCCATATATTATATACAATGTCTCTGTATGATTGTATCTCTTCATATATTATATACAATGTCTCTGTATAATTGTATCTCTTCCATATATTATATACAATGCCTCTGCATGATTGTATCTCTTCCATATATGATATACAATGAATCTGTATAATTGTATTTACTCCATATATGACATACAATGTATCTATGATTGTATCTCTTTTAATATAATATATACAATGAATCTGTATGAGCTTTTGTCTGGAACACTGATGGTAATTAAAGTGAACCAACATTAGTTTCATTTATCGTATGTAGGTGATTCAGATAAACCAGCAACACCACCTGCACTTGGTCGGATGTTTGACAAAAACTTCCCCTCACTTTATGCACTAGTGCGATTTGTTCTGCGTCTGCACGCCACGACAATGGAAATCATATTGTTCTTAATGGTGCCCGTTAACATCAATGCATCATGGCGCGGGGCAATTTTGGGAAAGTTGTTGGTGATGTCCCAATAGACTTCAATGTAGGCACAAGAAAGATGCATTTTTGATTCATTTTAGTGCTTAAAGTCTCCTCAAAGGAAAACTACACCTAATGATGTCACAGACATCTTTTTTTTTTTATCATGCTCATCCACCGGAAAACACACATGAGCTATATACAAAGTTTTAGCACAAGGATACAGATCTGTCATTTTAGCAACGTGACTAAATCTTATTGAACTCAGCTGAAAATAACCGTCACTTTTTAAATGAGCCCACTGATCTTGGTGTTCTATTGAGCCTAGGGGATGGATTCAATTGAGCCCATGGAATGGATTCATTATAGGACTGTACATGCGGTGACAGTTTTTTTCATCCACCGCAGAGCACATATTGGAAATTCTAAAAACTTCAGCACAATGTTGCAGATCTTTATTTTAGCACTGTAACCGTAATTGGCAAATCTCATTATACAGCTGAAAATAACTGTCACTGTTTTGAAAATAAGCGTCCTCATATTGAAGTGTTAACTATGCCAATTGAGCCTATGGGATGAATTTGTTATAGAGCTGTACATGTGGTGCCTTAGCCTTGTCAGCACAGTGGAATAGACGGTGCTCAACGACTTGCAGGCTAATGCAATCGCTCTACGTCCACATACGGTTAAATTGCCCTACCGATAGGAATCTTACGGACTTCTGGCAATATGTGCCTGTGACCGGGTGTCTTTTAGACCTTCTAGCCACAATTTCTGGTTCGTAAGTAACTCAGCTAAGGATTCGTTAACGACACCATCGTTTAGTACTTACGAAGCTCATGGACCCCTGGGTAGTCGCTGAATTCGATGACGTACAAGTGTCTCCCTTGATGGCTGCGTCCAACGCTGTAGATCCTGGTGATGTAGGGACAGGAACTGTGCACATCGTAGAGGGTTTGCATCAGGTCCTCGTAGCGGTGATATTTGAAGGTGATGCAGAGTGCCACCTTACACAGGAAGAAAAGTTGGAGGAGGCAGTAGAGTGTCACCTTCATTCCTGCAGCCTTGCCTGGTGTCCCATGCACACATATACAACACACAGCTCTCCTGTTCTCTCTCCCCCTTGCAATCAGACTGCTCTAGTTACACAGAGAACTGCCAGCCCACTGCAGCACAGTATGCGAGGTGGACTAAACTTTACTCTGGCAGAGCCCCTCCCTGTACAGCATCCTACAGAGGGACTTACAGCTTTCATTCCCAACGTTTGTACCTCCTCCCCCTGGCCCACACTCCCACCAGGTGAACTGGCCTCAGTTCACTTATTAACTGCCATGTCAACTGGCAGAGCTGCCTTTCTATTTACTTTAATCACATCGGTCACATCTGAGGCAACATGACGAGGTTGTGCAGCAGATTGATACAAAGTAGATATTGCCTTTGCTGAGCCTCTGGTTTAAAGTAATATTAATGTCAAAGTTTTTTTAAGCTATTTCAGATGCTGACTGTATTACTTACAATGGATGCTGCTCCTTGATGTTCAGAAAGTTTCAGTTTCCTGCAGAACCAGCTGGTACTTTGACATATCCTTGTGGGGTCCTATGCACCCACCCTTGTCTGTGCTTGTAAGCTGTGCATGTCTCCACAAAGACACAGTTACAGCAAGGCAAGCTATCCTACTGTTCCCTAATCCTCCCTCCACCCTTCTTAAAATTCAGTTCAGGAAAGCCAAGGTGAGTGAGATGGAGCTATTCTCAATCATGATGACTGTAAGGGCTAGTTCACACCAGCCCCAGTGCGTTCCAGCCCGATTGGTGCCGGAACACACTGCATTGCATTCCAGCCTGCTCACTTGGTTTTGGGAGCGTGGCGGTGCATTGAAGTCAATGGCAATGCAGCCCTGCCCTCCGGCCGCAGTGCGATCACCCGCACCAGAACGCGTGGCACATCAGTGCCTGTGTTCCGGTGCGGTCAAAAAAACCGCTGCATGCACTGTTTTTTTATGACCGCACTGAAACTTTCTGCTGCATGCACTATTCTTTCTGACCGCACCGGACCAGAAAGGAGGCACTGATGTGCCACGCATCCTGGTGCGGGTGATTGCACTGTGCAAAGTGAGCTGGCCAGAATGTGATCTAGTGCATTCTGGCACCAATCGTGCCGGAATGCACTGGGGCTGGTGTGAACTAGCCCTAAGTATTTGGGTGAAAATAGAAAGAAATATCTTGCTGGGCAATGGATATTTGTTTAATATCGGTTCATTATTGAAAAATGGTTTGAGAGTTTATTACTACATTAAGCCCCACTCCAGGCAGCACGGTGGAAGGGTTAGACCATCTGTTGGGTTATTACTGCTGTCTGTAACTCCACCTGAGAGATTTCCCCTCACCGTGTGTCTCTGTGATTGAAGAGAAAGGAAGGGAACAGGGGGTAGCCAGACAGTAATGAAAAACATCAAATCGTGAGAATATTTCAGAGACGCTGGGAGGAGTCTCTTGCTCTCTTGCTCTCCTTTATGATAGACCCAACCTGATTTGTAGAAAGCTCCTTAGCTTATGGTTGGGCAGCTCAAAGACGCACAATAGGAGGTACTGGGAGCAACTCAGGGACAGAAAACAGAGGTGCACCTGACTAAGATGTATTTTAGAGTCCATGAAAAAGTTTGATATTTGGTTGATCAAACATCCAACGTGTTTCAGGGGCAAAATTGAATCACTGCCTGCAATCTACACGTTTTGGGAGAACTACCCACGGCTGCAATTTTTTTGCTCATTCCATTTGCTCATTCTCATCATTCTCTTCCGAGCCCTGAGGAAGGGGGTTGTGTCTACCCTTGAAACGTGTCGGATGTTCAACACAATTATTAAACGTTTTTTTTAGACTCTACCATCCAGTTTGGTCTGTCATTCATCATTTCCAAGCCCCGAAGCCCATGACTTAAACTGGCCATACACAGTTAGATTTCTCGTATTCAGCCCTGGAGAGACTTCACATGACTTAAGCTGGCTTTTTCAAGATGGGTGGTGTGGGCAGGGCCACCCGCAGATTGAGTTTTGGAGGATTGAGCAGGACCAGCTTTACTGATCCTACCACCAGGATAGCGCATGGGAGGAAATCTCCCCAATGGGGGACCGGTTGAAATAAAAAGCTAAGCAAGACTAAGATGTTCCAGTTATATGAGTGTTCAGTGTTCCTGGTATGAGTGAAAAGGTTTGCTCACCTCTGGTCAAACTGAACTTTTTCATGCCTCTATGGAGCATTTTTATTGTGTCTGTTTGCTGACTGTAAAGGGTCGGCACATCCAAAAGTGATATTTTATTGTTTGGTGGGTGAACTGAACCCCCCTGACAATGTCTTGTATCTCTTTATGACTCAGTTAGTGAGATCTCTCTGCACAGGGTCGCTGGCTCTGCCCTCCTGTTATCATTATGATGGACTCCCATTTTCCCTGTTGTATTTTTATTTATTTTATGTTGTGAAGAGTAGAACAGGAGGGGCGGGAACACACAGAGGTGGGCGGGAACACACAAAGGTGGGCTGGAACACACAAAACTCCGCGGTGCACTGGAACAAAGGAATTTTGGCATGGAAATCTTGCTTTTGAAGCATCCAAGGTATACAAGAATCTGTGAGCAGACTTAGACCACCAGATCCCATCTATAGGTAACCTATGCCTTTTATGTGGACTGACCCTTTAATCATTTTCCGTTAAAGTAGAACTGAAGTCAAAACCTTTTCATATTAAGAGGGTTATAACCCCTGTCATTTTTTTGCCATCTGTGTCCCATTGTGGAGATTTCCCTTCACTTCCTGTCCTGCAGCCACAACAGGAAGTGAGTGGCAATCCTTCCAACGTGAGGGAAATCCCTGGCGGTCATCATGATCACCAGAGCTAATGTCCCCATTCATTTTTGTTACCACAGCATACTGCAACGCACATGGTGCATCGAAGTGCACTGTATAATTTTGATGCTGAGATACTTTTAAAATGCAAAACATTTTGCCACATGTTAATGCAAAAGAAAATGCCAGTGCATTGTACCCCCGCAAGCTTGGTGACTTGGGATGTTACGGCAATGTGCACATTACTGCAAGGCGGTGGTGTGAACGAGAAGAAGAGAGAAAACCAGCAAACTGAAAGAATTTCTTTTATCTGCATTTTTGTGTGTCAACACATGCTTTCTTAAACGCAACTATCGGCATTTCCTCTATGAAAAATGCTTTTACTGGACATTGATGGCGCTAAACCTCCCACATGTAGGAAGGAAGCAGCGGAACTCTTTTTTCCAATGTATCCTTTTAATGCTCGTTATTTAACAATAGAAAAAGGCAGATGGAACTTTTCACAGCAAACGTTACCAATAAGATGGTGATTTCCACATTGATACAATGACTACATATGGTTCTCAAACATTCCGAAACATGATCTGAATTTTACAGGAGGACTGAAATACTGACATATAAGGTATAGGTATAGACCTATTAAAGGTGAATTATGGGGTGAGCGAAAAAAACTCATCCCCAAGTTCAAGCCGACTTGTTACTCTGACGCTGTCACAGGCCACTCTATTGATGGGGAAGTCAGTGAACACATACCGCAGATCGCTGACTTCCCGATCCTGGGAGCGATGACTGTCAGTCATTGCTCCCTGCATGGATTCCCCTCCTCCCCTCTCTGTTTCTCTAGCGCTGACTGGAGGAACAGATATGGGAGGGGGCGGGCACAGCTGGCTCTGCCTCTAGGGAGGCAGAGCCAGCTGTCAATCAGCCAACAGGGCGGATCTTGACAGTATTGTTGGGATCTGTCCCAGCTGAGGCGCATCTATGTAGCGAGCAATAGCCGGCTATATACTGAGTTTGTGTCACCAGAGGACATTAGTTTATGTCCTCCCATGAGCTTGAAGAGAACTATGGCCAAAAAAAGGTTGGCCCATAGTTCTCTTATAATATAAATTATTTAAAGGAGAAGTACAGGGAGAGTAAAACATACTCTCCCCACTGCTTAGAGCCAGCGTGGGACACTGTGGCTGTCATATGAAGACACTAACATCAAGAGCTGACTGACCATGTAACCACTGATTGGTCAGTTCTCTATCTCTTTTTTCAGCAGAGAGCAATGACTGTCAGTCACCTCCCTCTGCAGGGACTTGCCCCTCCCCTTTCTGTTCCTCCGGCGCTCATTGGAGGGACAGATGGGGAGGAGGCAGGCACAGCGGGCTCTGGCTCTAGAGAGACAGCTGTCACTTAGGCAGCCAGGATGGATCCTGACAATATTGTTGGGATCCTTCCTGGCTGCTGCACAGCTCTGTACTGTCAGGAGATAGCGGTCATTTGCTGACTTTGGGTCACAGGAGGACATTAGTAAATTAACTCCTGAGACCCAAAAGAGAAAGAAAGCCAAAAAAAGTTTGTCTTTACTTCCCTTTTAAGGGCAACCAGAAAGTTCACAAGGCTGCAGGTCGATGGCTTATATAGTTGATGTCATTGATGACCAGCTGGGAATCTCTAAGCATTGGGACAGCAATGAAGTGTCAGTAAACTGCATTGTCCAAAGTTTTTTACAGACTTGCGTGTCTCTAATTTATATAAACCAACAATGGCAGCCATTCAGATCTATTAAAAACCAGATCTCTTATTTATATGTTGGAGTCTAGTTACTAAAATGTGCTGTAATGGCAGGCAACCTGTGGAGGGAATCACAGGAACTGCCAGCTATGTATGCCAAATACAAGTGTGTTTCAGTCACTTCAACTTACAGTTTGTTGTAGCATCAGATACACTGTATGTTTCCGGCCAGACACCTGGGTGACAACCCACCGCGTGGCAATCGTGCATGATTCCGTGCGATTGCAGCGTGGTCAGGAGCCACCCAGGTGTGCACCGATCACGCTGTGGGTGCCATTATTTTCCAATGGCACCCAAGTACCTTTTTTCTGCGATACACGACGCGCGGCGTGTTCAGAAGCACGGGCGGAATCACGGCGGGAAACTGCGTGATCCGCCCGGGGCGACTGTGGTGCCATTGGAAAATAATAGCACCCACAGCGTGATCGGTGCACACATGGGCGACTCCGGACCGGCCGGCAATCGGCGCAGAATCGTGCACGATTGCCGTGCGGTGGGGGTGTCGCCTGGGTGTGCACCGTCCCTTAATGTTAAAGTATATCTAAAGCCAAAAACAAAAATGTAATACAGTATATTGTAGCTTGCCAGTCCTTAGATAAGGCGGTTGCAGAAATGTCCTTTTTAA